TGGCTCAATTTAAAAAATATTGTTAAATTTAAAAAGTAAAACTTTAAAACATCTAGGAGAAAATACAGGAGAAAATCTGTGTGGCCTTGGGTTTGGTGATAAGTTTTCAGGTATTACAAGAATAAAATTGATGAATTGGACCTTTTCAAAGTTAAAAACTTCTGCTCTGTGACAGATATGTTGACAGAATGAAAAGACAAACCACAGGCTAGGAGAAAATATTTGCAAATCACATATATGTGATAAAAGACTTGTATCTAGATTACATAAAGAATTCTTAAAACTGAATAAGAAAACAAATGACCCAATTTAAAATGGGCAAAATATCTGAAAAGACACTTCAGCAAGTAAGATATATAGATGGCAAATAAACATATGAAAATATGGCCAACATCATTTGTCATTAGAGAACTGCAAATTAAAATGACAGTAAGGTACCACCTAAACAAAAATAAGACTGCCAAGTGCCGTGGAGCTGCAGGAACTTTCCCTGCTGGTGGGACTGCAAAATGGTATCACCGCTTCGGAGGAAAGCTGGGCAGTTTTTAATCCTGAGAAAACATTAGACAAACCCAAATGGAGAGACATTCTATAAAATAACTAACCAATACTTCTCAGAACTGCCAAGGTCATGAAACACAAGAAAAGGCAGAAACTGTTACAGGTCAGAGAAGACTAAAGATCATGACCACTGAACAGAATGTGGTGTCCTGGTTCGGATCCTGAAACAGAAAAAGGGCATCAGGGAAAAAACTGGTGAAATCTCAACAGAGTCTGTAGTTTAGTTAATTAGCATTTTAACAATGTTAATTTCTTGGTTTTGACTAATGTACTGTGATCATGTAAGGTATTAACATTAAGGGAAGCTGGGTGGAGGATTTATTAAAACTCTCTCTGCTATCTTTGCAACTTTTCTGTAATTCTAAAATTATTCCAGAGCAAACAATTGATTAAGAAAAGAAGCTCCACAGAGAAATACACCCATTAAAGTGGCTAATATTAAAATGACTGAAATACCAAGTTTTGATGAATATGTTAAGTAATGGAACTCTCATGCATTGCATGCAGGATTGTATATTATTTCCATCATTTTAGAAATAAATGTTTTAGTGGGAGGTGGAAGATAGGACAGATGTTGTTTAAGGGTATAAACTTCCAATGAGTACTAAATAAGTCCTAGAGATTTAAAGCACAGTACAGTGAATACAGACAACAATGTTGTGTTACCATCATCAAACTTGCCAAGAGACTAGAACTCAGTTACTCCAGCCACTTAAAGAAAGGATATGTATGTAACATGATAGAAGTGCTAATTATCACTACAATGACAATCCTATGTATCAAATTAACATGCTGCACACCTTATATTTACACATGATACATGTCAGATATATTTCAACTAAAAATGTGTCAGCAATATTTACTAAAACTATATATTTCTGCCTTGTGATTTAGCAATTCTACTTCTGGGTATATACTCAAGAGGAGTGAGTACAGATGTCTATAAAAGGACATGTACAAGAATGTTTGTAATAATTTATACATAACTGCTCTAAATTCAAAACAGCCTTTAAAGTGGGAAGAACTAGGAGAACAGAAAATTGAATTTAGGTATATTCATACAGTAGAACACTACATAGCAAAATTTTTAAAGGAAAGCAAACTACTGGTACTGGCAACAACCAGGATACATCTAAAAACAAAAAAAAATTACATTGGCCCCGGCTGATGTGGCTCGGTGGATTGAGTACCCGCCTGTGAACAGGAGGGTTCACTGGGTTGATTTCAGGGTGGGGCACATGCCTGGGCTGTGGGCTAGGTCCCTGGTTAAGGAGTGTGAGAGGCAACCAATTGATGTACCTCCCACACATTGCTGTTTCTCTCCCCCTCTTTCTTCCTCCCTTCCCCTCTCTCTAAAAATAAATAAATAAATTCTTTAAAAAAATAAAGAAATTTAATGCAATCTCAATACAAATACCAATAGGAGTTCTTTGTGGGGGGGAGGTGTGAGGGGAGGTTCTAAATAAGCTGATTTTAAAGTTCATGTGGAATAAGAAATAAAATATAGTTAGGAAAATTTTGACAAAGAAGATTAAAAGGAGCCCTAATAGATATTAAAATATAAAGCTAAAATAGTTGAAAGACTGTGTTGCTAGCAAATTAAAAAGACAGAAGGAAGAGAATTGAAAATCCAGAAGTAAATTCAAATTCATATACAAATTTGACTTACAATTGCAGCATTTCAAATTAGTGAAGAAAAATTTATTATTCAATAAATGATTTGGGATAACAACATAACATTAGGAAATTGTCCAGTAGAAAAATAGGAGGAGGTATGAATAATTAGTGGAACATAAATTACAAATAACTCTTTAACATAGGAAAATATGCACACACGGTGAAATAAAAAACTTCCCTCACAATAAGAAGTGCAAAGAAAGGTTACACTGGGGTCACATTTTTCACCTTTCAGAACTGGCAAAGATCAAACTGCTGAATAGCACAGAGATGCTGGTGTTTGCATGTGACAATGGACACTTAAACATTTCTGACATTCACTCTATTTGGAGAGCAGTTTGGTAATATTTATCAAGATAAAATATATGTACCCACCATTTTACTTCCAGCAAGATTTTTGATGGCAATACTCTCACATGTGCAAAACCACACAGATTATTATTATGGAATGTTTGTAAAAGATTGGAAATGAATTTAAAATCTTCAAAGGGTTCTAGTTAAATGATGCAGCCATATAATGAGACACTACACAGATATAAAAATTAGGGAGGAAGTTTTGTGATACTGATATGGAATTATGGCCAAACTATTTTATTTTGACAAATGAAAAAGGTAAGGGGAAGAATAGGCAGAGAACATGCTACCACTGGCAGGAAAAAAAGAGGAATGAAATACATGTGTATACATATTTTTGAATATGCACAAGTTACCTCTGGGAAAGCATCAGAAACAGTCGCACTGGTTGCTTCCAGTGGGAGGGCCATGGTGGCTGAGGGACAGGGGTGAAGAGACATTTCCCTGTTTACTCTTTGATGCTTTTTGAATTTTGAACCACATGAATAACTTACTTGCTCCAAAAGAGGAAACAGATAAAATTAAAACTAAAAAAAGGGAGGGAAAGCTGACTTACTGTGATTTACTCAAGTCGGGGTTTGTTTTTCTCTCGTAAAAAGAAACCCAAGCTGTGGGTGGGTTCCACTCTTCAAGGATGCCTCCTGAATGAGGTTCTTGCTTTTCTTCCAGGATCTCCATCCTCAGAGGACTGGCTTTGTATCTCCATGGCTGTTTCCTCCTGCTGGTAAGATGGCTGCCCCAGCTCAGGCTGATGTCCTCAGACAAACATCCCCCAAACAAGAAAGGAAGTACAAGGAAAACCACAAACTTTTTCCTCAAAATGCTTTTTGCCCTAAGAACGAGACTTCCCTGCCCATGTCATTGGCCTGAAAAGGATCCCGGGCTCCGTCCTAAACCAATTCCTGGCCAAGGGCAATGGATTTTACTGGCTCCTGGGACTGGAGGAAGGGCCTCCCGATACCATGGAGTATCTGCGTCGGTACAGAAATGGGGTTCTGTTCCTGGGAAAAGTGTGGAAGTCTGTTGGGTAGGTCACAGGAAGAGTCCATCACAGCTGTCAACGTGAACCACTCCATCTTTTAAAAAAATCTTTTGTTACCCCAGGCATACATACCACCATGTCCCACTGCCGCCACACTATACATAATTATGTCCCTCTCTCTTCTGGATTGCTGTCCTCCTCTCCTTACTGGCCTCCCTGCACCCACATTGACACTGGGCGGATGCAGTATTGGTTTTTTCCTCCATGTGGTATAGGAGTGGGATTCTCAAAAATGATATATGAAAGACTACCTAGATTCAGGCTTAATTATCCTATCGTTAACTACTATTGTATCTGGTTCCATCTTTTGAAGACAACTGTCAAGAGTCTGTCTTCATTGACTCTTCTATCAGCTTTCATTCTAGACAGGAGCTCCTCTCAATATAAAGCATGCTCCTGGAGGCTGTATTAACTCAGCACTGGCTAAATACTCATGGGCAGTGTTAGGGGCTGCTGAATTCTGTCTCCCACAATTCATGCGTTCAAGTTCTAACCCTCTATGCCTCAGAACATGGCCTGTATGTGGAGATAGGGTCTTTAAAGAGATAATTAAATTACAATAAGGTTATTAGGGTGGGCCCTAATCCAGTATGACTGGTGTCCTTATGAGAAGAGAAGATTGGAACACCAACACACACAGAGAGGAGACCTTGCGAAGATCTAGGGAGAAGACCGCCATCAGCAAGCCAAGGAGAAAGGCCTCCTCAGGAGAAACCAACTCTGCTGACACCTTGATCTTGGACTTCCAGCTTCCGGAACTGTGAGAAAATAACATTTTGTTGTTTAAGCCCTCCCAATGTGCAGTACTTTGTTACGGCAGCCCTAGCAAATTACTACAGGCAGATATAATCCTCATTTTGAATGATGTTACATAGGACTGTGCCTTAGCACCTCTTCTTTAAAATGTTTTCCCTTTTATTTTGCTGCAAATGTATAACATTTGTTTTTTATCTAAACACATTGCAACAATCGTTAAGGACTCACGTTGTCTGGCTCTAGTCTCCTGCAAATCAGGAGGATTTAACTCTCTCAAGATACAGCTTGCCATTATTTACTTCTCAACCAAGGAAGCTGGACTGAATATTTTCATGGTCAACCTTAAATAACCCATCCCTTCACTTGGATCAGATGGCTCCTGCAGTATGTGTTTTATAGCCACACCATCCTGACAAGCCCTAGCAACAGAGTTCTTCACATTAGACCCAGATGGTGGCCTTTTATGGAAGGAGCAGTCAGCCGGCAGCCGTCCTGCTCATGATCCTTCAGGCTCAGGTCGTCTCTATTGGGCATCATGGTAAATAAATGCTTGGGGCCCAGACATTTACTAATAAGAGAGCTTGAGGGGATTTAAAGTTCTTTTGGGCAAGAAATAAAATAAGACAACAATAAGTAAACAAAGTTAAAACCATGAGTGCTCCTTCTGAGAGAAAGGAGGCCAGCCTAGATCTCAGCTCCCACAGGATGGGGATTTGGCCTCTCACATTCTATGTCTCAAGTCATATTTTTCCCTTCAATCAAATTCCTTGCAGACCACTTTTCCACTCACTCTCCATTGTGGCTGTGAGACTCGATGCCCGTGGAACATGCAGGAAGTCTGGTTCTTTAAGAAAACCAGCCCATTTTACTTGTGCAAAGAAATTCTGGAAGGGTGTGGTATGTGGAGCTTTTCCCCGAAGCCTCTGGAGCCCGACTAGCGAGGTGCGAACCCCAGCTTTGCCATTTGCGGTTGCACTGGGGGCATGCCTTGCCCTCTCTCTGCCTCGGCTTCCTTAGTCGTTAAATGGGAATACTGGTAATGTCTAGCTCATGGGGATGTGGTGAGGTCGACATACATTATTATCGTAAAGCATTTAAACGCTACCTGGCTTGTTTTCAGTGATCACTGGCTAATCCTATTATTAACTGAATCACATATTGAAATACTTTTGTGGGATTACATTTTAATGTTTGGACCTTTGCCTTTGACATTGCCCAGTGGAAGAGTATTTCTATGTGAATCCCCAGAAAATAAATTATCTAGGTCTCAGTCTCCACTTTATTTGCATGTGGTTACAATTTATAAATACACTTGCCATTTTCCTCCCCCTCTGAAACTCTTCCTTCACCTAGAAACCCTACCCCAAACCCCAGTTTTTAATGACTCCCTTTCTTCTCTAGGAGGGGAATGGTGGTCCTCCATGCAACTCCATCTTCATCCCGGGTCTACCTCAGTCCATATGAAATGTGGGTCCTTGAAGTGCCTCCGAAGCTTGAGGATGAGCGCCATGAATCTGTTAGAGGTCCCAGTGATGTCCTTGCAAGTGACCGTGCAGCTGGCTCCCTTCTGTGCCATGCTTTGGGTGCAGAGTGCCATGGTGGGCAGCAGCAGGCATCATACGCTCTGCCTGTGCCTGAAGCTGAGCTGGTACAGCCCCAGTGGGCAACGGGGTCTGCAAAGAAGTCTCAGGCCTGCTCAGGCGGCGGTGAGAGTCCAGTGATGGGCACTGTACCCAGCCAGTGCCTGGCCCTGCTCTCGAAGACGTGTCTGAGGCCCAGCCCCTTGGGGTTTGCCTCTCATGGGGCTCTACCCAGACCCTCCGTCAAACCTGTGCGGGTAGGGCAGCCACCGTGAGAAGGTGCTCTTATGCCTCCCTCCTCTTGGCTTCTTTCAGACACCATGAAGCATGGGTGACAAATTGGGTCCTTGGCCCTGTTAGAGGGCATGGCACCCCAGTGTCTCTGTCTCGGCCAGGTGCCAAGCTTTGCCATCTTCCTGGTAGGGTGTAGAGAGCCCGGGAGGACCAGGGGCACCCTCCTCAGGGATGGGGTAGGGAGGCTCTGGGGGAGCAGGGGGGTCTCCGGGGCCCCGTGCTCCACCCAGTACTGGTCCATTGTAGATGTAGATGTTGCCGGTGACAGTCACAGACCCGCCAGTGACATGAATGCCATTGGTACCTGTGGAAAGGGAGGCAGAGTGAGAGGGGCTGAGGGCGCAGTGTTGAGGGGGAAGGCCCGTGTGCCCCTGCAGCGCTTCCCCTGCTTCCTGAAGGCCCTCGTTCTTCTGCCTTCTCCCTTTCCTCTCTGTTTCCACTCCCATTTGCAACTGGCTCCTTGAGCTCTGCATTCATGCCTGTTTCTGGGTTTTTCAGTCTCTTCCTTTCTAGCTGGGATACTCTGGCTGGCTGTCAGAGTCCTGTTTTGCCTCCGTTTAGTCTTCTCATTTCTGTCTGGCTCCCACCCGCTCCCCCTGCCCACCGTCCTTCCGACCCCACCGCCCCCTCCCACTCTTCCCCCTGCTCACCGTGGGCCATCTGGCCTTGCTCTGGGGGCTCAGCCTCCAGCTCCCTGGCCTGGCTCAGGGGGCTCTGCTGTTGGAGAGCATCTACCTCCAAACCTGGGGATGTCGGGGGCCAGGCCGGGGCTGGGGGCAAGTCTCCAGGGATGGGCAGAAGTGGCTTTACAAGGTCGGGAAAATGTGGGTTGACGCCGGGCGGCTCCCAGTTTCCATCAGTAATATTGGATTCCTCTCCCTGCAGAAGAGGACCAGAGAATCAACCAATGACGTGGGCCTCAGACCCCATCTTTCTTTAATTCCCACCGCTGACCCCAGCAGAGGCAGCCGGGGTTGTCCCCTGCTCCTCCTCCTGCTCCCTGCCGCAGGCCTTTTTCCGTTCTTGCTTCCTGGAACCTTTCCCCATATACCTTGCTGCCTTCATTTCTTCAGCTCTCTGCTCAAATACTGGCTCAGTAGAGAGGCCCTCTCTGTCCGCTGTCTAAGATAATATGCCCCCATCCTCTGCCACTGTCACTCACCGCTCCCCAGCCTGCTTTTTTTTTTATCAGTTATCACCACCTGATACATATTTACTTAACTTGATTCTCGCTCCAGTGGCATGTAACTCAGGGAGGGCAGTTACTTTGTTTTACTCACTGCTATATCCCCAGGCCTAGAACAGTGCCTGGCATATGTATGCTCGAAAGTCATTCTTTGAATGAATGAGTGAATGTTGAAGCCTGCACACTCTTTTCCTGCCTAGCCCCGTGTTGTTCACTCTCCTTTCCTGCCCCTCCTGCTGCCTCCTCAGCCTTCCTCCTTACCTCTGGACGCCTCTTGAGCAGGAATCCTGCAATGAAAATGAAATGGGTGTCGGGCCTCTGGCAGACCTCAGGCCCCCAGCCTTTTACCCTCCACACCCCACCACAACGTGTTGCTGCCCAGCCTGGGGCCCCCCAAGGAACAGGCTATCGTTCCTCTTATCTCCAGCCTCAGAATGGGGGCGCTGGATGGAGATGATGTCTATGCCAGGGGCAGGGCACTGGGAGTCTTGAGGATGTGGGAGGGCAGACAGGTTGTACGGAGGAAGCTGAAGATACCCTCCCACCCCCTCCCCATCCAGGCGGCTGCCCTGCATCCCTGCCTGCATCCGGCCCCTTCCTACTCAGCTTTCTGCAGAGAGAGGGGTGGCTCTTCCAGGTGCAGGCGAGGATGGTGGTGAGGAGCAGCAAGGAGACCAGCGGCAGCATGATGGCCAGCACCAGCATAGTTCCTGCCAGGAGAGCAAACAGGAGACAGCGTGACGGGACAAGAAGGGCAGAGCGGAAGGGAGCAGCTTTCCCCTTTCGGTCTTACTGGACTTCAGAAAGGCAGAATTAGAGACACCTCCCTGGGTTGTGGAGAAGGGGAACTCAGTTGGACTTGGGGGACCTCCTGAGAGCCAGGAGAAACTGTTGTGGATGGAGAGGTTTGGGGCGGTGCAGGTCCCAGCTGCACAAGGACAGGAGCCTGGGCAGTTGATTTTCAAGCACTAGAAGTCAGGGTGGGAGGCCGTTCAGGGAGGGTGGGGCTTGGGGCTGTGAGCGGACTCAGGCCACTGGGTAGAACCATGTTGCTGTGGACTTAACCATCTTACAGAAAGGCCACTGTAGGAACTGAGCGTGGCCCTCTGTACCTGCAGGGTGTTCACAGAGATGGGAGAGTAGGGGAGCCTCCCTTCTGAATTCTGCCTGGGGTTGCCTGGGAGGCTAGGGATTGCAAGGTCTCCACCCCCTTGCAGGGTCCAGGAGGGAGTGGGAACAAGGAGGCTGGGAGTTCGGTTCCTCGGGATGGGGGCAGTGGATAAGTTTTGTCTTTCTACGGGTCTCAGTGCTGCCATCCATAGCATGGAGCTGGCGGTGCCCATCAACCGTGCCTGAGGAAGGTCAGGAAGACGTGGACGTTTGCGTGCTGGCAGTTGGCCCTCTCCAGTCCACCCAAATCTGTGGCTGAAGGGAGTGCAGGATGGGAAGCCTGGGAAGAAATTCTACCTGGAGTCTTAGAGACCTGGGTTCCTGCCCAGCTGTGTGACCTTTTAAGCCATTTCACCTCTTTGAGCATCAGTTTTTATTTTTTCATATATAAAATGAGGGGTTCAGATTCTCTAAAATGCCCATTATATCTGCTATATAGTTAAACATGAATAAGAGGACATGGAAAAATGTGTGTGAAATAGTTGAGTGAAAAAAGCTACAAAATATTGAAATAACACCACTTTTAGAAAAACCTTGCATAGACAGACATACAAAGAAAAATGTTTGTGAGGACCTGTTAAAAAAGTTGTAAAGAGTGGCTGTGCTAGGGGACAGTTCTATGGGTGATGTTTAGTTTAATGTAACTGACTCTTCTAAGATTCTACAGTGCACACGCATTCAAAGGTAGAAGGACCTGAGAACAAGGTGTAACACCAGCTACCACATCTTGGGCAGGTCGCAGAGCCTCAGAGCCTCATTTTCCTTATCCCGTCAGTGAGGACGGCAGGAGAACTACCTCAGAGGGTACATAAGAGGATTAAATGAATTAGGGAAGTCAAGTATTTGCAGAGTCCCTGACAGACTTGCTCTGAGTAAATGAAAGCTAAGATTATACGTATTTGCTAATTTTAAAAAGTTAATAAAATAAACTCTCCTCCAATTAATAATGATTATAATTGTTAGAAACATCCTGTAATTGTCTATTAGGCTAGGAAGCCGGTAACTCCACTGAAAAAAACCCAAAGAAAAGTCAAATGTGGAATTACCTCTCTAACAAGAAAGTGTGTACTCTAAGAAGGAGTACATTCAGTCTAGTAAATGGATTATATGATGGTGATATGCCCAAAATGGCGACAGCGATATCGGTTACATTTATGTATCGGGGTGGGAGTGTGCCTTGGCATCATATTATATGTATCATATGTAACTTCAAATGTGTGATGAGCGTGTGTGTGTGTGTGTGTGTGTGTGTGTGTGTAAGTAAACTGGCCTGGGGACACTCCAATTTCTCTTTGAGGAACTGTTCTTCTTGTCCCCCGTTCTGAGAGGGAAGGATTCATCTTTTCCCCATTTCTTTCAGATGAGAGGAATTCAGGCCTTTCCCCAGACACCCCCACCCTGGGCCCCTCAGCCTGGGCCCCCACCTGGTATCTCCGGGGTCTCTGATGGGTTTCTGCAGATGGTGTCAGACTGGGCGGTGCCTGGTCCTGCCTCTATCAGGCCCTGGTCCTCACACCTGCGGAGAAAAGAGAAGCCCAACTCAAGAGGGCACACCACTGGAAGGGGCAAATGGCAAGGAGGGCCCTAGAGAGCTGAGCGCTGCGGTGGGTTTGTCAGCAGCTGGGGCTTCTGGGAGGGGGGAGGAACACAGCCACACTCACCTGGTGTGGGGCTGGCAGCGGGCGCTGGGGGAGGAGGTATTCTGGAAGTGCCCTTCCTTACAGGGCACACAGGTGTTACCAGCCTGCTCGCCTTCACCTAGCAAGAGAGAGGCAAGGCCAAGCAGGATGAGTGGGCAAAAGGAGCCTCCTGCCCAGCTGTGAGCCTCCTTTATGCCCACCGGATGGGCCCTCTGTGCATACCCAGCCCATTCTGTAGCTGACACCCTTCCTGATCTTCCCCTTGCTGAGTTTCCCCAGGGCCGAGGGGACCCCCGCACTGTCCCTGTCCCTATCCCTGTTCCATTTGTCTGCATATAAATCCCTCCTGAGAGCCTTTCATGGGGAGGGAGAAGAGGCTTTTTATGCCAAAGAGAACTACATGGAGGCTCCCCGGGCACACAGTACTGTGCTCCCTGTTCCCATTCAAGGTCACCTGGCACCCAGCCTCCTCCTTACCTTCTGCCCTTAGTGACCTCTGACCTTTGTGCTCAGCCTCGGTGCCTGGCGGGCAGTCAGAGAGTGGCTCACAGTGTATACACTCCCTGTCCCAAAGGACGCAGAACATTCCTGGCTGGCAATGGCACTGGGTTTTCTGTTTGCTGGTGCAAGGTGCAGTCTCCTCAAAGCCCAGTACTTGTGGGGAGACAAAAGAGCTCAGTGGAGAGGCTGCCCCCCAGGGGACCCCGGCCCTCCACAGGCACACCCCACTCACCCTGATCACAGGGGCGGCACAGCTGGCAGAAGTGGAGATGGTTCCAGTGCTCGTTGTAGGAATTTTCAGGGCACATGGCACAAACTGTGTCCTGGCTGGGGCCACAGTCCGCTGAGACATGAGTGCCTAGAATGTGAATGGGGCAGCTGGAGTGTCAGAGGACTAGGGTTCCACCCTTACTTCTGCCGCTGGCTGTGTGGCCCTGGGCTTGTCCCTCTCTGTGCCTGCCATGAGGATGGCCAGTGTCTCTCACGCAGTCTCTGCCAGCTGGGTTTCCTGGGAGATGGTGTCTACCTTCTTCCTGAGGCAGTGAGGAGTCCCCTGTAACCCGCCACCCTGCCCCAGGCTTCCTCTCGCCATTGCCTCTCACCTGGGGGGCAGCGGGAGCAGCAGGCATGCTGCTTGGGTTCGTAGTACTCCTTTTCCTGGTCCCGGCAGGTTTGGTTCTCCGTGTGGTAGGGGGGCACCTTCAGGGGGAGATGAGCCGACGACGTAAAGGAAGAATTATTCAGGGGCTAGCTGGGGAGGGCAGAGACACCGGAGAGGGAGCTGCCCAGACACCCCTTCCCTATCCAAGCCCACCCCCACCCACCTGCACGGCCCCTCCCTCACCAGTCGGGGCTGGGATGCTGCCAGGAGACCGAAGAGGCCTAGTATGAGTGGCCCCCAGGCCAGGCCACAGGGGGAGGCGGCCCATGGCCGCCGGCGCATGGCGGCCAGTCGACCAGACGGGTGGAGGGCCTGGGAGTAAGGTGGGAGGCCTGGACCTCCTGGGCAGCGGTGGCAGCAGCCTCCGGAGCCCAGGGGCTGGGACAGGACTCAGCCTGATGTGCCCTGGGGGGCCAGAGCCGCCGGGCCTGGCCTGGCCTCCAGGGCTCCAGCGGCTAGGCTCAGGAAGTGGGAGTGGAGCTAGCCAGCCACGGGGCGGGGACAGGGAGCGCTGGGAGCTGGGGCCGCCTGCCTGTCGCAATCGGGAAGAGGAACAGGCTTGGCTGCCCTGCTGCAGGGTGGGAGGGGGCCGCCGGGAAAGCACGTGAGGGCAGCGGGGCCGGAACCCGGCCTCCTCCCTTCTTCGGAAGCCTGAATGGGAGAGGAGGACTGCAGGGACAGGCCGAGCTGGTGGGACAGGGGCAGCAGAGCCAGCGGACAATTCTCAGACGAGCCCCAAGAGGCCAGCTGGGGCAGAGCTGACAGGAAGAGATGGAGTTCAAGACAGAGCCACGTCCAGCCGGGTGCCAGATCTGGAAAATGGAGGGCCTGGGAATGCCAGACACGGAGAGGACAGACACCTAGGAACAGCCAGCTAGGCGCAGCAGCGGGAAACCGGAAGTCCTGGATGGCAACTATCTGGGTTCCTGGGTTTCTGCCCTGTTGTATGGCTTTTTAAGATAAATTACAAAGGAATAATAAGCCAACCAGTCCACACACTGATGGTCACAGGTCACATACAAGGCACTCCAGAGGGTGCAGCCCCTGCTTCCCTGTCCTTAGAGAAGGGGGGGGGGGGGGGCTGGGTAGACTGAGTTTCCAATGCGCAGGGCGGCCGCAGCTGCGCTGGAGTTGGCCTGCCACGGCCCTCCGTCCCAGCTTCTTCACCCAGGAGCCTGCGGATCCCTTTGAACTGAAGGGAGCACCCAATCTAGCCCCCTTACCTAAAGGATGAGAATACCAAGACTCAGGTAGAAAAGACCAGAATTCTAGGGAGGCTCAGTTCAAGTGGCTGACGCTTTCTTTCACACTATTTCTCTACAACCCATTCACAGTGCCCGTGGAGTGACTGGCAGTTGCCTCTCTCCTCCCTGCCCCTCTTATGTCAGGCTCTCCGGTCTCCAAGATTCCGTGCTCCTGGCTAAGTCCCACCTGTCCTCAAGGTTCCTCGGGGGCCTGCCCACCCCAAGCTGCACAGCCCCCACGCAGACTGCACCCGGGCACCTGCTGCTGACAGGCTCACGATCTTCCTGTGAGCTCTGTGATGGCCTGGGCTGAATCTTTAAGTCTGGATTCCCAGTGTTTAGCATACAGTCTGACACAGACTGCATGTCCAGTACATATTTACAGAATAAAGGAACGATGCCTTGTCCATGTCACATGGCCAGTCCAGGGCTACCCATTTCTGGGTCCCAGCTCATCCCAGCAACCACATTGCCTCCTTGTGATTCAGGGGTGCCTCCCTTAGTGTGAGGGGCTGACTTACTCTCTTGATATAGGTCACCTGGGCACTGTCCCCATCCCCCACCCCGGGGAGCCCAGTTCAGTGCTCATCCTTACCCTGGTTGGTCTGACTGGCTGCACAGGCTCCAGGTGATGGATCTGGGGAGCCCTGGTGCAGGAGCGTGTCTGAGAAGGAGGGTTTACCCAGGGTGAAGGGGCCTGCCTGCCCTTTAGACATTCCACACTCCTCTCCTCTGCAGGCCTGGGAGCTGCACTCTGCTGCCTTTATACAACAGTCCAAGGCTTCCTGGAAGGAGAAGAAATATCAGGACAGTGTGCACTCTTCAGGGTTGCAGCGATTTCCAGGTCAAGGGAATTGGGGGCTGGGGCTGGACTATCACTGAGCTCTTAAGTGCATAAAGGTACTTGTGAGGGTAGTGGCCTTAGATCCGTTTTTCTCTTTTTTCATTTGACCTTTTATTGTGGACATTCACATGTAAGTATACATACAGAAAAGGAGAGAAAATAGTATTGTGAATTCCCAGCTTCCACTCAGGGCCAATCTTATTCTTCCATACAATTCTCCCTGAGTCACCTAATGTCCCCTAATTATTTTGAAGAAAATCCCAGACATAGGTCATTTCATTTGAAAATATTTCAGGACTTTAAATGGCAGCAACTCTTTTTCTTTTGAGGTACAGCATATAAACAATGGAGTGAAGGAAGTACACTAATCTTATGTATACAAATCAATGGCTTCCACTTTTCTATATCCCGTGTATCTCCCCAGAGCGTTTCCCACACCCCACAGTGTTCCTGCACGCCGTTTCTAGTCAAAGCCCCCTGCTTCGCAGTGCGCACTGTCCCGGACCCTCTTCGAGCCCAGCTTGCTGAACTATTATATACCCTTCTCTCCGCTGCCATTCTCATGCTCTCGCTTCAGCCTGCAGTGACTCTCTGGGTCCTAAGGAAAGAACCCTAAGATAGGGACGTCCATCCTGGCCCCCCACTTTACTTCTGTGGGGGCTCTTTTATTTGGGCCAGTCAATGACTTGTTTCCTTGCAGATCTGTTCTCCACTCTTCCCTAGTTTTGAGCTATATCACTCCTGGAAACTACATTTCCCAGACTCCTTTTCCCTCTGGCTGCTGGGTAGGTCCATCCATAGGAAGACAGGTAGGTGGAGGACAGGTGGGTGGAAAGAATGAAGAAGCCAGGCTGTTTCTCCACTACCCCCACCCCACTTTTGCTTCCTAATATCACCTACAGTTGGTTGTGTCTCTTCTTCATCTCCTTCCATAGTACCAGGCAGTCCCCATTACTTAGTTCCTAGCAAATAGCTCTGGAGGCTCTGGGTCTATAACGTTATATTACCCTGCTGTCTTTCCAGCCCTAGAGATGGTAGCTGCTTCCTGCTTTGCTGTTTTCTGGCTTGCCTCACTGTCTCCTCCTGGCTTCTCTATTAGCCATGTACCAATTCTCTGTGTTAAATTTCCTCCGTTTGAAAGACTTAGTGTTTCCTGTTTCCCAGCTGGACCATGACTGACAAATATTATCAATAAGTGGTTATTATGCCTACTCAGCCTTCTCCAAGAGGATGAAGGGAGGCTCACAGGGGCAAGAAATCCATGAGTTCTTTGTGACCGGGGCGTTGTTTCTGCTGCTTTCCTTTCGTGCTCTTCACCAGCTTCATTAAAGTGTTACTGGTCTCCATTGGGCAATACCAGAGCCAGACTAAGTGCCCCCTGGGCCCTCAGAATGTGTGTGGGGGGAGGGGGGGCTCTTCGCCAGGCTTTCTGTAGAGGGGATTGCTGAGAGAACCTTCTTCCCACAGGTCCATGAAGAATCCAAAAAGGGGTTGGCAAGAATGAATTCTTCTAAACACTCTTTTTCCCCTCTGCTCCTTCCCACACTGCTCTTAGCCAACAGGTGCCCTTGGGAAAGGCCTGGTGAACACTGAGGAATGTGTAACGGATGAGGGTCGTGCTTCTCCAGAGTGTTTCCATTATTACCGGGGATAATTCTTAGCCCAGCGGCCTCAACTGGGATGACTTCATCCCCCAGAAGATATTTGGCAACACTTAGAGGAGTTTTTGATTGTCACATCTCAGGGAGCACTATTAGCATCAGCAGGCAGAGGCCAGGGACGCTGGCTGCTAACCGCCCTCTAGTGTGCAGAACAGTGCTTCCCACCGCAGTGACCTGTCTAAATGTCACCGGTGCCAAGCTTGGTAATTGCTGTCTTCACCCAAAGGAATAAACTTCTAATGGTGAACTTCTAAGCATCCTGCTTACGTGGCTGGGCTAGGAGTGTCTGGGAGGGATGTTCTGCGACATCATTTTAAGGAGAAATTCATACTATATAAGTGCAGATAAAAGGACCGCTGTTTTCCACACTGGGCTGGCCACTGTGGAAAGGCTAATTATCTCTAAGCAGTAAAAGGGAAGGGTTGTATTTAAACGAGTGACTCATTTTTACACTATAAAGGATAGAGGCTGAAATGGAAAAGGTGAATAAAATTTAGATAAATTAATAGGCCACAAATTAATGGGTTACCAGAGAAAATTAGGATGTTTGATGTATTGGGGATGCTTTCTCATATACGTCACTCTCTGTCAAAGACGAGCCTTGGATCTTACCTCAGATGCTAATTCTTCTGTGTTTTTTTTAGTGCCAGCTACACAGTGGAGCCACCAAGACAAATACGCCTGGTGTCTGTCTTTAGGGAACTCCCCACATGACCCAGGCATACGTACATACACCGATACACATGCACTCACCAGGACAATGATAGTGTAAATAGCACACAGATGTCCGTGCTGCCATAGCATCCTAAACAAGGCTCTGTCTGGAAGTGTGGTGGAGAAAGGGATTACTTCCACCGTCTTTTATCCCCCAGGGAGTGAGAAGCAGGAAGACCTTTTGAACTCATAACCCTCATCCCACTACAGACCCTCTCGTTTCACTTCTCTCCCTGAAGGCTGTGCACATTTTATTTATGGCCACACCGCAGGGTTAGAGGGCGGCTGGGGTTGGGAAGAGGAAGACAGCCTGGTAGGGAAGGAAGGGCTGGTGCTCTGGGAGAGGGTGGGGGCACTTCCAAGACAAAGTCTGCAGGACCCTGGGTCCCCCACAGAACAAGAGTCAGCTTCTCTGGGGGTTAGAGGCGTGACATTGAGCTTGGAAGGGGGAAGCTCAGCTCTCAACCTCGACGCACCTGTAGCTCCTGGGGGACCGTGGGCAAGTCACGGTACTTCTCTGGGCTTTTCAGTGCCCTCATGTGTTAAGCAAGGGGCTACGCAAGGGGATCGATGCAGAGTCAGCTGGGAAGGATCTTTGCCACCATCTGGGCTGCCTATTCCACCCCCTTTTGCCATTTTGTGTTTCAGAAAGGTGAAGTGCCATTTTCAAAGTCACATACAGAGTTTAAAGGCAAAAAGGGAACTCGTAAAATAAACCTATAACATCTCATTTATGAAAAAAACTATTTAAAAAAAATACATGTAAGTTAAGCTCTGGCTGGTGTGGCTCAGTGGATTGAGTGCCAGCCTGTGAACCAAAGGGTTGCAGGTTCGAGTCCCAGTCAGGGCACATGCCTGGGTTGTGGGCCAGGTGTCCAGTAGGGGGCGCGTGGGAGGCACCCACATAGTGATGTTTCTCTCCCTCCCTCCCCCTCTCTCTAAAAATAAATAAAATCTTTAAAAGAATATACAGGTAAGTCTATACAAGGAAGCACACAAGAAGATATA